CCCACCTAGGAGATGGGTATAAATAAACTTTCCCTGGTCCTCATATAAATCTGAAAAAAGAATATGGGATTCTTGATCGATGGGAACCAAAATCTGATTGACCAACTTTCCCCCCTCTCAAAATCCGAAAAAAGAACCCCCCCTTAATTCGTCTAGGATGTTTCCATGGTGTTCTTAGACCTATTCAATAGAAAGGGAAACAGAGAGATGTCATATAACAAATAAAGATCATATAACAGGGAGACATAGTGAGATCTTTCATTAAAAAATGGACTTGTAAAACCAAAGAAATTCATGTTTGGGATTCAAGATGTTGGTAAAATCATGGTTAAAGGTCTTTCATTAACAAAATTGAATTGAAAGTTAAAAAAATAATAAAATCATAATACATGCCGGCGAAGGGGCCATCGTACGAGAAGGAGAGGTGATGGTAGCTTGAAGATCCGATGAAAAACCTGAGAAGATCGAACAATTTGGCCAAATCATGAATTTACTTGAAGAGATAACTTGAAAGAGATTGAAAATACTAGCGTAAAAAAACTTACCAGCGATGGGAAATTGTTGGTGAAGAGCAGCGACAGTGAATCACGGTAAGATGTCAATGTCCATGTGACTATGTGAGATCCAGCTCGAATTTATGAGATTGTTGCTCACATCATCCTCATAGCCACTTGCAACTATGCATTGAAAACATCTTACTATTAAATAAAAATATACAAGTATGAAAATATTCCCAAAAATCAAGGCATGGGGGTGGTGCCAAACAAACTCTTAGACATCATAAGCAATTTTGGCTTGCCATAAAAATTGGGCAAGTAAAGAAATAAATGACTAGGAAGCATGTAAAGGGTGTAATTTTGTTTCTCAATTTAATTGGTCCCACTCGAAACATCCGATGGAAAAATTGGAGTTGTTCCTCAAGAAACATGCCTCACACAGTACATCACATCCGTGTATTGGAAATATCTTCTCATGAATGAACATCGAGTATGAGAGAAATTCTCAAATAATGATTCAATAAATCTATATTTGTTGGTGCGAGGCATGACCGCATGAGTAGCAAATCTAAGATTCATTTGATGATTCAACAAATGGGCAATAATTGGGAAGGTCTATGCAAAACAAAAATTGAGCATGGCCCCGTCATGTCTCTCTTTATCTGTCATAAAGTTTCCTTTAATAATCTTTATGTCATACCATAAGGCTATATTTAGTTGATGCAAAATAAGAAAGAAGCATAAAAATTTGTTAATAACTTTTCCTCAACCCTTTCTTCTTTTCTACGGAACCAAATACCAGTCCAAATTTTCTCTTTTACTGGTTCAGAGTTCATTCTTCAATACGTTATTTATATACCAACTTTAAAACTGGGTCAGCAGTTTTAATAATTTGGATTATCTGAACATGATGGATGTGCAGCAGATTGTGTGGAATCAATGATAATGTCCCATGCCAGTCATAAAATGAATGTCTGTGAGTGCCATATATTTTATGACTAGTGTGGGGTATTATCATAGGTTCTATAGCCTTCTGAACAGTTATTTCATTCAGCTAATCTCATCTCCAGTTTTAGTATTTAGGGATGTCAATCTATCGGTTTTGGTTTGGACCTAATACAATCCAAATCTTATCAAATTAAATTTGGACGGTCCATTATAATTATTGGATTGGGCCAATCCAAAATAAATTGGTCCATATTCTTATTGGTTTAAATTATACCTAAACAAAATTTTCAATCATCCACCTTTGTGCAACTTGAAATCAATCAAAACTGAAAACAACAACTTGATTTACTATGTTGCAAACTCTGTATCTTTTCTTTTGCTCTCTCTTTCCTTTCCATTTTATCTCTTTGTTAACTAACCAATTCCAAGGATGGTTCCATTTCTGTAGCTTCTGCATTTTCTGGTCAAGAAGTTGCACAAGATCGAGTTCACAAATATTTGTCCAGTGGAACGAGGAAGCATACAAGGGATAGAGTGTGGCAATGGAAGCTCTTTACATCCATACCCCTAGAGGGGAGTTGGTACTGAAGATTCATATACTTCCTACATGCATTATAAGCTACTTTGTGAGTCCTATCATTTTTCAAATATGAAAACAGTGAGTAAGCTCTAGAACTTCATCCTCGTAGAACTTTTCACACCAGTTGCAGAATACTTCAAGATGATTTAGCAGGGAAACCATATACATAGCATCAAAAAGATGGTGATCTAGCATTTTCTCTTATAACTACTTTTAGGCTGAATTTGGCATTCCTTATTTTAAGGACTTAATCTCCTTTTTGCACTTAAAACTCAGTGTTCATAAGGCTCAGTTTGGAAGGAGTACAAATACAAATATGTAGAGTGCAAAACCTTATATTTTATATTATTTTGTATACATTTGCACTGTATATATTTGTATTTGTATTCCTTCCAAACTGAACCTAAGGGCATTTTAACAGAAAAAGGAGATTATTCCTTAAAGAATGCCAAATGCAGCCTTAATCTTTTAGTCCTTGTAATAAGGCACCCTGCCGCTGCGATTACCCAACTCTTTCTATTGATTAGAACAAAACCAATAGCGGTTCTACGTTTATGAGATATACAAGAGCCATTTGTATACAAAATGTGTTGGACCACCGCACAGGAGACAGACATGTTGAGGTTGCTGAATTTGCTTTTAGCTGATGACTGGTGATAAAAGAAACAAGTTTACAACCTTGGTTATAGATATGGGGTCCAATTTTGCATTTTCATGTACTCTTCTATTTCTAGCCTCTCATATCAACCCAAGTACAATGACAACCTTCTCTATGTGCCCTTTGTTCAGAGCTCAGATTTTGTGATTCATCCCATGTCCTTTTTGCTTTGCCGTTCTGATGAATTAGGATTAGCTGAATACGATGGCTGTTCAGCGGGCTGTGGAACCAATGATGAAGTTTCCAGACAGTAATAAATTCATGGCCCCCACTGTGAAAAGTGAGGTCGCATGCATTTTATTATTAATGTGGAACCTTATCATTAGCTCCACAGTCCCGCTCAACAGCTATTGCATTCAGCTAAACCTTGCTCAGTTCTGATGGCAAGCTTCCACTTGTGATGTTTCACTTATAGGTGCTTTAGATGATCTTCTCTATTGATTTTGATGCAAATTGATAAGAAAAAAACAGAAAATCTTGATGAAAACAGGGACCTGGAGGAGATAATAATTGAGAAGATTTTTCGGTGCGAAATGCACTTAAACAGGCTAATCACCACCACAAATTGGAGCAAGTCACCCATCAAAACTAATCGAAGAAAAGCATCTAGTTTTATCCTTTGCAAAGTGCTTCAAATCAAAAAGAAAAACATGTTTACAGAACAAAGTTCGCATTTACATTCAAATCAAATTTGTACATCTCAAACTTTGGATCAAACTCACTACTCCCTTGTCTCTTTATGTCATGCTCTAGAACAAATCTTACCTATAGAATCCTTTATATTTTTTCAGAAAGCGGGTTGGTGGACAGAGGTCTAGCATCAAATCATGGGCATTAAAACACTGAGCTGACTAGTAAAAGCTGCTTCTAGTTTGGTCCAAAAAGAATCTCACTGTAAAGAACTACTTCACTTGCATATGTACTATATGATAGAGATCTCTGTTATTACAGATTTATAACAGTGTTAACTACACTAATTAATAGACAATGCAGCAAACTAACATCTTGTTAGAAAAAAAAGGCCAGTAATTCATGGAACCATATATTCCAACAGTGTTGTTAACTATACTGGTATCTTTCCTTCTACCATTAAAATTTTAAACTATTAAAAGATTTTAAAATGTATCAAAAAAATTCCTATTGATTAATCTTTTTGAAGATGAAAGGCTGTGTTGCTTTACACTAGCAAACTTGACCTTAATCCAAGTAAATGTTAACAATATTTTAAAACTACAAAAGCAGAGAGCATATACTATGTCTTCCAGTACAAGAATTATAACAAATTCATTTAACTCCCATCCAGTATTGAACTCCAAACCTCTTCTTGAATCTTGCATGTTCAAATTCCTCCACACCCCCACCCTACTACACAAGAAAAAAGAGGAAAGAAATCCTAAAAAATACCCAAAGAAAACATCATTTGTTACCTCAAATATCTAAAATTTTTATGTGCTTGAGAAGAAGTTCTATAGGAACACAAAATGTATACACAGGATTCACGTATTACTAATGTGTAAAATAGTCTCATCAAATCAATATTACCTCTTACATAGGTCATGGTCTGTAAATTGCATTGATGAACAAGAGGAAGCATTTAATAGTAAAAGAAAGATAAATGTATGAAACAACATCTACCAGTTCAAATCATTTGATGAAATCAAGGGACTACCCAATTGCTGTCCTTCTAATAGGAATATAGGATGATGATGAATTCCTGATTTGGGCACCTAGGCATTGTCTAGACAACAATGAATAGGATGATGATGAATTCTTGGTTTGTTACACATGCGTTACTATTATCTACCTGCCTAATGCTGCTTAGTGAGCAGTCCCAACACCTGATCATCATGGACATTGCATCCCCTTCAACCAACAGGAAGTATAAAATCCAACACATTCACCCTGACTGTATTATGTGCCATATGATTCAATTATATAAGTTTCCTTGAACTTGCAATAGTATAATGATTAAGCTCAACTGCAGAATGTTATTTACTGCACTAGATTATCTTTATTAAGTTGGTAATGGGCACTCCTAGTCTACCACCAACTCAACCGGTGAAAAAGACAATGCAGAATGTCTAATTTACTTGGAAAGACACAGTTGTTGAGAAGGGCCAAGGAAACAAAAAACGAGAAAAAAAGACAATGGGCCCAAAGCGGCCACTAATATTGGCAACATATGTGGATAATAGGTTAAATCTATCAAACGAAGCAGCAATCTCATGCTAGATACTGTGGCCATTAATATAAAGAGGGCTGATATACGTGGAAAACAGAGGAGAGCTGATAATAATTGAATAAAAGGAAAAATCCATAATTAGAATCACACATCTTATTACACCTGTATGATAAACAATTTTGGATAAACGCCTTTGAAACAACAAAAGAACATACGTGATAAACAATATGTAATACCAAGTCACCAACCACAATTTTGATATAAAAATAAGCGCCTTCTCCTGAATAATTAATATGAGATCAAATGATCAATAACCAAAATAGAAGGTCAGGCATGTAGATGATCTCCCAGATGTAATAAATGCATGATCTGATAGACGATGAAATCCAGTTAAGGCCAAAATTTAGCAAAACTCCGATAAAGGCCAATCCGTCAACAGGTGAGAAAGAAGGAAAAAGAAAGAAAAGGAAAAAAAAGAAGTAATAGTGTTCCTTTCAGCATTGGCCAAAGCAAGCAGCAACTACTGATTACCTGACATTTTGGATCCAAGTGCATCATACAGCATCTTCAACTGGTCCCTGAATAAATCAACTCGCTTCAGGTACATTTCAATTTCTGACATATGCAACTTCCTCCACCTCTCCTCCAATTCCTTCACCTTCGAGTTCCCCATCAAACCCAAACCTTCTTTCACAATACCCTCCCCAAAATCAGGCCTTGGCAATTCCGCGATTTCCCCAAGTCGGAAAGATTCCATTACAGATGGGTACATAGACCAATTTAGCTCTTCATCGGCCTTCACTGCCGCATTTGAGGCCTCTCCCGAAGAAGGAACTTTTACAGCATTGCCAGCTTTCTGTTTCTTACCCGTTTTCCCATCATCAGTAGCTTGATTATTGCCACCGGAATTATCTTCGGAACCCCATATCTTTTTGGATAATTCGAATGCCTTGGATTCATGTGACTTAGAAAAAAGAGGGTCCTTACCCCCTTTCCTTCTGCCCACATTGGTCTTGTACTTCTTCTTCAATCGACGGATTTTATCAGCTAATTGGTTCTTATTGACATCAACATGGAGTGCTTTCTTGATGAACTCATGAAACCCAACCATGTCAGTCCATGGATCGGCACCTTTCTTCGAGTGATAGTCCACCATACCCCTCAAGATCATGAGTTCATCGTCCTCGCTCCACAACCTCTGAAACAATTGTTTCTTGGCATCGTCCCCAGACTTCTTCTCAGTATCTTCTGCTTGGAGCGATCCGTTCTCGTCTGCATCTGAAACCTTCTTCCTTTTGCCTTTTAGGTCCCTGTTCCCTTCCTTATCAGCCTCCAAGGGACGTTTTGCTGTGGTGGTAGCTTTTGTGGGGCTGGCCAACGCCGGAGGTTTCTTCGGTTTGGGTGTGTCGTCCATAGGCTTGGAGGTGATTGGTTTGATGTTTGGATCAACACCTCGAGAACGTGGGTGGGGTTTTTCGGGTGATGGTTCGGAATCAGAGCCGGACTCTTCATCCGAATCGGACTCTTCGGCATCATCTTCTTCATCGTCCGTGGAGTGATGGGCTTGACGACCTGACACAGTATTTTGAGTTGGCACGGACTTAAAAACCGGGTTCTTCGCAGAGGATCTCTTGGCAGAAGCTTTCTCGTGTTCATCTTCTTCTTCGTCGTTCTCTTCTCCATCTTCTTCCTCGTCTTCCTCAACTTCTTCTGATTCTACATCTTCTTCTTCATCGGACGAGGAAGAAGCATCAGGTGGGTTATCGATGAGTGACCGGCGTTTCGGAGGCATCTTCTCTATGGGAGAAAATTAAGGGTTTGATGTCCGAAACGAAGAATAAGGAAAGAGCAGGTTTTTAAAGTAGGGTTTTTGAACTGAAGCAAGGGTTTTTAGAGTAGGGTGAGTCACGAGTGTCTAGGCCTTGGCCGACTGACCGTGCTATATAGTATAATTTATCGCTAAACAAGGGAGAGAAAAGATTGGGCCGTCCGGTCTGACCTTGGCCATGCCAGGTCAAACAACTAAAACAAAACAACGCAGGAGAATCTACCTTGTGGAGTGAATTTTTTGTTGCATGTAAATGGATTAACTCCATAACTAGCGGAGGGGCCAGCGAAGTGGATTGGGGCTGGGTTGGAATTGCAATTTCCTATATTAAAAACTATAATAGTTTTTTAATAAGAAATTTGGAATTATAAGTATTTAAGTATTAAAATTCATATAAAAACTTAGAAGAGATTTATCGTGTTACCGTTTTTTAAATATTGCTTCAGTAAAGTATCTCATAAAAAAGAATACGATCATATTGTGAAAATTCTGAGTTCTACTTCATATTTGTCTTTTATTTCACATCAAGAACTCACAGTTGACCTGGACGGTAGGATCGTTCGGCCCAAGAACTGTTCAGGCAACTGGTTCCGTTTTACCCCAAACCGTCCAGACAATCGACCAACGACCCATTGACCCGAGCGGTCAAACCGTCGACCCGTTGACCCGTTCAATGGTTTTTGGCTTTTTTTTTATTTTTTTAATTTTTGTTGTCAAAATGGGCCGTCCGTTCGAACCAGACAATCAAACCGTCAACCCAAAAACCGGTGGCCAGAATGGTTCCGTTTTCGAGTTGTATGAGTCACACACTCAAATGATATAACACGTATGATACTGCTTAATAGACCTCACACACTCAATTTTTTGCTTATAATTTTTGTTGTCAAAACGGACCGCCCGTTTGAACCGAACGATCAAATTGACGATCCGAAAATCATTGGCCAGAACGATTCCATAATTTTTTGCTTGTAATTTTTGTTGTCAGAATGGGCCATCCGTTCGAACCAGACAGTAGAACCGTTGACTCGAAAACCGGTGGCAGATAAGATATATAAGATTCCTTATGTTTATTTCTTATAATTTGAGATTTTTCATTGAAAAGTCTTATATATATATATATATATATATATATATTAAAGGGAAATCTACTGCCATTTGGCGAAAGGGGAGACCACCCCTTTATAAGATTAGCATTGGTTTTTCCCTTTAAGTGATGAAATTGCCTAAAAAAAGGTTTCATTAAGCCACGTTTGTTTGGGGTGGAAAATCGAACCAGGGTAAACTTTACACCCCGGTTCGTTTTTACATTCATTTGGAAAGAGTTAATTTTACACCATAAATTGGTGTGAAATTCCATTTTGAATTTTTTATACATCGATAATCAATGTAATATATACATTGAAATTATCGATGTAAATGTCTCTTTCTTCCTCTCTGTCGCTCGCTCTCTTCTTCTTCTTCCTCTTTGCCTCTTTCTTCCTCTCTATCACTCTCTCTCTCTCTCGATCGCTCTCTTCTCCTTCTCTCTTCTTCTTCTTCTTCTTCTTCTTCTGAACCCATTGCTGGCAACAAGCAGGGAAGAACAGAGTTTCAAATCACCGTACGTGCTGCATTAGACAATTTTTGGGACCCATGTGTTATGATCTTTGTAGAGCAGAGTAGAGTTTTAGAGCAAAGCAGGAATGGGACCCGTGACACGTTTCAGAGCAGAGTGTTAGAACAGAGAAAAGTTTCAGAGTTTCATAGAGTTTCACTTTTACATTGAAACAACCAAACAACATGAGAGAAAATTTCTAAAATACCCCAGTTAAATTTTCCATCAATCACTAAACCGGGATCAAATTTTCCATCGGTGTAAATTTGAATTTACACTTAACACAAATGCCCTTCATATCAGAACAAATTAAGAGTTTAAGAGGGTAGAAAACAAAGTCCTCCTTTTATATTTGCTTTTGCTTAAATGCTCAAACTTCTTAATCCAAAAAGGGTGTAATTAGATAGATTTTCTCCGTTCTTTGCCATGAATTACATCAAGCATGGCCACAATGTTCATAAAAATTTACAAGGTTTTAAAAAACTATCCAAACAACAAACCGCTTTAGCCATCCATTTTTGGGTCAGCGGTTCGACCGTCTAGATAAAACAATCAAAGTAAGTTTTGCATCTTAACCATTAGCATTTTAGGTTAGGTTAGAAAGAAATATAAATAGAGAGGAGGTATGTCTGCCAGTAAAGGAAAGAAAAAAGAGAAAGAAAAAGGAAGAAAGAAAGAAAGAAAAGGAAAGGGATGAAACAAAAAGGAAGAAGGAGGAGGTGGTGGTAGTGGTGGTTTGCTCGCAATGCAACAACGGTGGTGGAGGCGGTCAAATGACAACAAGGAAGAAGGAGGAGGATTATACACATGTTAGCTTTCTTGTTATCATATATGAACTGGGGTGGAAATTCTTGTTGACCCTCGGAATTAATTAATCACCACCTTTTGCTATTACAATCAATACATAGACACAGAATTATTCATGCACTTCTTGATCATCATTGACACAGAATGTGGATTAATTGATCTTTGGTAATGATCTACTAGTAATATGGATTATTAACTTGAGAGAGAGAGAGAGGCATTAATTAAAGTTCCCATAGAGTTGTTAAACAAACTTAATTAATCAGAGTCGAGAATCAAACAAACTCAAATAATCAACCAATGTATACACATGCACACATATTCATGATAGCTAAAGAAATAAACTAAGAAAGAAGCAACAATAAAACGGAAAAAATACCTGTGGTAGAATCAGAAGTAATTTTGTAGACAAGTTATGATGTAAAGTATACAATGTTAGGAAAAAACAAACAAGAGCATATCTACACTGGAATCTAATTAAAACTAAGACTCAGTTTGGGAGGAGTATAAATATAAATTTGTAGAGCACAAAACCTTGTATTTTATATTATTTTTTATGTATTTGCACTATACATATTTGTATTTGTACTCTTTCCAAATTGAGCTTAAACGAAATGAAACCAAAGAGATTTATGGTACTGCTCCAACATGATAGATATCTAAATGACTAGATAATTGGATAAAAAAAAGGCACCACTTGGTTGGGAGGAGAATGACAACTTGAATAGTGGTAGTGGCTGAGGTTTAAGGTTTTGAATGTGCCATTTCATAGCAAATGGGGATCAAAGATTGAGGACCAAGAAGAGTCTAATTTTTTTTTTTCCTGCTATAGTTGCTAATGTATTAGAATAGTAGTAATGGTTTCAATTGTTGACATAGATTGAAGGAAATAGGATATAAGCAAGAAAACTACTCATTCCTATGGATAACCCTGGTGGCAATAGGATTTAATCCCATGTCTTTGCTTTAACTAGTCAGAGATCCTACCAATTGAACCACCCTCAGTTGGTACTTCCTTTCTACTAAGGTCTCTCCATTTGGCTTTAAGGCTAAAAGATCAAGCACACTATTGAAATTGTCAATTCTATATTAAAATCTTTTTTTTATTAAGCCCAAGCTTTACCTGTAATACCATATGGGTCTCAAAATTCGCATAAAAACATCAATTTAGTGATCCAAGACATGTTTTCAAACTATTTTATCATCACCTTGATGACACCATGGCTGCATCCATGTGGTTTTCATCTGAATCAAGAAGTTAACCTAGAAAGAGTTTCGATTTTCCTAAAAGCAACTGTTAAAACATTACTCATCATCATATAATAAAAAATAATATATCTTATATGACCTACCTCATTAAACATTCCAAAAAAAAAGCTCAACTACCAATTGAAATATGACGTACTTCATTGATTCATATATCCTCACAACAAAGAATGCAAAATTTGCCTTTGTATTAAGTAAGCAAGCAAGTCCATATAAGATGACTTATATATAAACTCAAGCTAATAACACGTGTAAGTGTCCAATGAAATTACAAAGAAACAAACTATTTGGTCAAATGCTAATGATGTCATTCTAAGATCTGTAGAACAAAGATATAGGTCACTTGATTGTTTAGTGTGGTATATGTGGACCCTTTAGATATATAATCCAAAAAAGATGCTACTACATGGCAGTTTCACATAAAGTTGTAGTCAATTTATTACTATCACTTTATCAGATGAAAATGCCACACCCACACCTATATCTACTTCACAATACTTATAATAAACCCATTCAGCTTCTTCTCGACTGCTATATTAACAAAATAAAATTTTCTCCCATTGAACACAACATAAATTTTTTTCATCCTATGCAATTCATGACAAGGACAAATGATATGGAAGATAAGATGAGGGTAATGTAATGAACTCTATATTACTTTAAGTCACATACAACACAAAAAAAAATTAATTATTCAAGGCACACAATTTAGTAGTTATCAAAAGTATCATTATAGAAGTAAGGTCCAAAAAGTAGGGCTTTTTAAGGGTCGGGTCCGTCAAGATGGATCCAAACCAATTAGGCCAGTTCTGGTTCCAAGAACTAGAGCTGACAAGTCAGTTCCGGGTCCTGCTATAGTGTCCCAATTATTATTGGTTTGAAATTGATTCCACCTAGTCCCAAAGTGGTTCAGACCCGAGTCGAGTTAATCGGTTCGGTTCTGGATCTGAAAGTTATAGACCCTATCAGGTCTAATTCGTTTTGGGTCCTCAATATTTCAGATCTGAAACTAGATGGTTCAAGATTTGAACCTGGCTCTGATACCACTGAAGGGATGAGAGATCCATCCTATGGACACCCAAAAGATTGCG